CATCAGCTGCTTCAGAAAGGAATTGGTCCACCTTTTCTTTTATACATGACAAGAAAAGAAATAAATTGACATCTGAACGTGTTTTTAAACTGGTATATATTTATTTCAATCATAAATTAAAATGTCCAAAAAATGATAACAATGATAATATAGATCTTACAATCATTGATGATGATGCAAATGTGGGAGGTGAAAGTGATAAAAGTGATGATGATGATGAAAGTGAGGGTGTTGATGAAGATGAAACAATTAGAATAGAAGATAGTGAAGAGTGGTATTGAAATATATTTAGTTTTCTTTTTTTTAATGGAATTTAAAAAATAAAAATTTAAAATTTTTTTTTTAAAAAAAAAATGCATTGCATGATGCGCATCATGCGCATGAAATTTTGGAATTTCATGCAATTTCCCATCTCTAAATATCATACAATTGTGATGTTAAACAAATATTATGATCCCTGAAATTCTTGTAATACCAATGTTCACTTTGTCTTGTTTTGTTGCAGTATGCCCCATTTAACAAAAAAAAAACATTTGCAATTAAATCATTTATTTCGATTTATTTCGCTTCCTGTTGTAAGGATTTTTTTTAATAAAGGCAGATACATTACTTTGAAATTTTATAATTTCTAAATATTCAATGATTTTTTTCAATTCACGGTCATTTTTTATTTTATTGTGAAATCTTGCTGGTTGAATTATATTAAAAGGTTGCATAGCAGCTTTAAGATATGAATCATCGATTAGAATTGTGTTTGCTTGATCCCAAAAATTATTACTATTACCACTACTATCATTATTATTAGTAATGGTGATAGTTGAGTTTTTATTGTGTATAGTAGAAAAATTATTCCAAATAATTTCCAAATTTTTAATTTTCTTATAAATTAAATTTCCCTTATCCATCTTATCTCTTGCCAATATCTCTATTAGATTTTTTGATTGTTCATTAAACACTATATCAACCAGTTGCTTTACATTATTTGGCGCGGCAGATGACCAAACCATCACTGAAAATTCATTATTTTTTGAAAATATATATTTTAAAAATTCAGATAAATAAGGTCTTAACAGTGATGGTTTACTTTTATTATATACTAGAGTGCCATTAAGATCTAGAACCAATAATTTTGGTTGAACTTTTAAAATTTTTTTGGAGGTTTCTTTGACTTTTTTCAGATATAACGGCGTAGGTTTTGGTAACAGTAACTTTTCCATTATTACTTGACGAGAAAAAATTGAAGATTAGATTTTATGATGATGATGTAACTTATGTGTTACATTCAACAATCTTTATAATCTTTATATGTTTTTTTTTTACATAAACTTGAGAAAAAATATCCTAATATAATATAATCTACATTACGTTAACATTAATTATGATTAATTATCAATTATTTGTTAATTATTGTCAAAGAACAGACAGATTTAGTGAAAACAACGAAATACAGATTTTGAATTTATAATTTAGCTTTAGGTTTAACACTGGCTAATACTTTATCTAGTTTAGTAGCCAACATCATATTACCCTTAATCTTAAGTTTACCACCCAAAAAAGCTTTTTGACCTAATATAATATTAATAATTGGATAAATTAGTTTTATCCATTAATCGATTTAATTAAATGAATAATAATTGTCACTAACCATTTAATTTTCCTGATGATAAATCAACAAAGGTATCGTCCGACAAACTGATAGTAATATCAGGTTTTGCTGAACCTTTGCCAGCTATAACAGTTCCTTCGTTTTTAAAATCCAAAGTCCAAATTTGTTCTTTACCTTCAGCATTCTTTACAACAATTTCAAAAATTGCCTTAGTCTAAATCAATATTAATTTAATTAATTAATATTAGTTTGATGATGATGATAATGATTGAATTTATATGAAATATGTAAATACATCTTTAATGGTTTGCTTCTTTAATGGTTCATTTTGACTAATGACACTTTGAAGTTGTTCAAGTACGACAGAAGATTTATATCCCTCTACAAAAACACTCATTTTTACAATTCTAAAAAAAGAAAAATTTTTATCTAAAGGAATTGAAAAAATTTGAAAAATACAAATTTATTTTTTTTTTTTAGTATATATATCCACATGATATATTAGGTTATTTGTGATTTCAGCTTACCAATCTTGCTTATTTGTGTTGTTTGAAAAATGATATTCAAAAATTTTGTCAAATATAGAGAAAAAATCGGTAAGTGTCATTTCCCCGGATTTTGCCAAATAGTAATTGAAAATTTCTTCTTTAAATGAACAATAAAGATGATAGTTCGCATACCACATCACATGTAAGAAAAACCAATCATTCAACCTTAAAAAAAACTAAGCGAAATAAATGAATGAAAATTTCAGAATTAGGCTAGACATAATGGAGTCTTTGTTTAATTCGCCGAGTGTTGATTTATTGATCCATACAAGTTATATTCATACCGGGTTACGTACTTGAAATAATGAAATTCATTTTTGGACATATATGTAACAATACTTTGTTGCAAATCTGACGGAGCATAAATAAAAAGTATATTAAAAAAATACAATTAAAGTTTAATTGAAAGCTTGATTTTTTTTAATTGCAAATCTAACATATTTTGTTTCAAATCCAAAAAAAATAACCAGGAAACTCTCGAATAAAGAAACCAACAAAGAGTCAGATCATATTTCTATAAGAAGAAGATTACAATTGATATTGCTGCAGAAATTTAAAATTTCTTATTCAAAAATGAAACTTATTGATAATTTATATTGTTTTCTTGAAACAAACAAAAATGTAAGATCCATTCATAATTATTATTCTTATTGTGTACCGCTCACGTGATATTAATATATATTTGTACGAGGCAAGGGAATTAGTTTTGTATTAAGATTATAATAGTAACAGTAATGATAAGGTATGAATGGAGAGAAATTTGCGTTTTAAAGAGCTCCTCGATTTCCAAGAAATAAACAATATAAATAAATTTGTATAAAAGGAAGAAAATTTTTTTAGATTTTACAAGTTTTAATTCAGGTTGGAAAAATATAAATTTATAATTTTTAATTAATTAAAATACTTTTTTTGTTACATAACACTTTTTAATTAAATATATATATAATCTTTAAGATAAAATCGTAACAATCTCTCTACCTACACCATTCAAATCATATTAATATATATATCTCTCATATATATATATATATATATACATTTACATATTACACATATATTTCCATACATTTATATAAAAAATTTATATAAATACCTCAATAAAAATTTTTTTTCCTTTTGTTAAAAATTTAATCCTGGAAATTATTATTATTATTTTTAAATGAGTGTTTTAATGATAATAAATTATAATTTATATATAATATAATAGTATCGATAATAAAATTATGATGTTTCCTTGTGGTGAAAATTTGATTATGCTATCGATCTCTTATGCAAATATAGATGCTATAGTTACAAGTATTCCACCTGAAATTTTTATAAATATATGTCAAGACCTAACACCAATAGATCTTATCACTTTGTCTAGTGTATGTAAAAAATTCTATTGGTATTTGTGTTCAAAAAATTCTATTACAACTCAAGAGATTTGGAAAAATTCACGTAAAAAATTTTTACCATTTGCACAATTACCCCCACCTCAAGGCATGGATGAAAGGAGTTATGTTAGATTATTGACTGAACGTGGCTGTCAGTTCTGTGGTAGATCAAGAGTTAGAAGAGTCTACTGGGCTTTCAAATTTAGATGTTGTAAAAACTGTTTGGAAAACAGAACTATGAGATTTGATCAAATAAAACGTGGAATCCTTGGCAGTCTACACATTTCTGATGAAATTTTATCTGGCTTGCCTTATATTACTGGTCTTTATAAGGGTAGCCTGGATAAGAGTCTAAAGAACAGACCTGCAAACTTGTATTTGATAAGTGACGTTTCTTCCGCTTATCAGGAATTCATCAAACTACAACAAAAGAATGATCAACAATTACTTAAAGATTGGCTGGAAAAGAAAAAAATCGAAGGAGAGAAATTAATGGAAGATGCAATTGCACATGAGGACGAGCATGAGAAGGAGTGTTTGAAAAAAACAGAAGAGAATGGTAAAAAAAGAGATGATCGAGCCACTACTATAGAAAAAATGATCAGGAAAGAAAAAAATTTTTATGGATTTCCCAGATTTAAGATTTCAATAGTTGAACAATGCGTGACATACACTAAAGCCACGATGTCTAATTCTACTCGTCCTTTTACTGAAAGAGCTTGGATTGGATTAAAAAAGAAGTTAATACCTGAATATGATCATATGGTTATATCTCAAAGGAATAAAAGACAAATCAACGAAAGACATTTATGTCACGATGTGGCATTTCAAACAAGACAAATGGATATTGTAAAATTGATCTTTGAAATACTACGAGATAATAGCACCACCAATAGTAACAACAACAATAATAATAATGTTGGTAACAGTAGTAGTAGTAATAGTAGTAGTAACAGTAATAATAGTAGTGGCGGTAACAGTAGTAATAGTAATAATGGTAATAGTAACAATGACAATAGTAATAATAGTAGCACTTCTAATAACACATCTAATATTTCTATTGATGATGTTAATAATTCTCCTAATAACATTACCATAGATTTTAGTAGTAATAACAATAATCAAAATTCACAGCCAGTTTTTTTATTTGAAAGTTCTTTAATTAAATACCTTCCATGGCTACCATCCTTCAGAGATCCGCCATTCACCAATAATGATCCAAGGATTTTATGGGATGAAGATTTTCTACAAAGTATTTTTATACCAAGGTTACGCCAGCAAGCAATTGAATTGAAAAACAATCCATTGCCAATCTCTACTGTGTGCGGTGCTTTTCTTCATGGTGGATTGGCAAATAAACGAATATTCGCATGTAGATTATGCAATATTAATAGGATTTATGATTGTTATGGAGTTGGCGGCTTTTGTAATAATAATAATAATGTTAATAGTTTTAGTAATAATAACAATAATAACATTGCTAGTGGTAATGGTAATGTTAATAATAGTAGTCTTAATAATTTTAATAGCAATAATGGCAGCAATGCTATTATTGCTAATACTAATATTAATAACAATAATAATAGTAATAATAGCAATGGTGCCAACTCCAACAATCAACAACATCAACAACAATTATATTTTTCATTTTTTGAAATTAGATTGCATTTAGTACAAAATCATAAAGTTAGAATGATAAACGATGAAATGATGATTAAAGTTTTACCTGAAATGATTGATAATGCTTCACTTAATCAATTGATTCCTCGTAATAAACCGGAAATATTTTTTGCTGCTGGCTTTAATTGTAATCTCATCGTTAACTTGTAAAAACAAAAATTATATACTGTTTTATATTATTTATGTTTATAGATTTTTTATTCTTTTCCATATGGAAAATAATAATAATATATATAATTAAAAGAAATTTTTTAATTTCGATTTTTTTAATTTTCTAAGATTCATTTTTTTATTTAAGATTTTTTAAGATGACAAAAGAAAATAATTGGCTAGTTTTTATATGATAGATTTTATGCACTCTATCTATATATGGCTTATTTTTCACCACTTTAAGAAAACTTTATTTATATTAAGAAAATTTAATAATTAATTTATCATGTTATCGATGAAATAAATAGCTATGTTTGATAAGTATGATTTTTAGACCAATCAATAACAATAATTTTTTATTTATAATATTTTATTTATTATACACATTAAAATAAATTATTTTTTTAAATTATTTTATCCAGAGTTTTTTCCTCCAAATTAAATCCGCTTTCACCAAATCCATTCTTGATATCCTATACAATATTAACACAATTAATATTAATAATAATAACATGATGATAATAATAATGGTAAATGATATTACTTACTTTAACCTTATTAGATGTACTAACTACAATAACAATAGAAGTCTCAGGTTTGAATAAGTTTAACAAATATTTTTTCATTAAACCATTCAATTCTTCAATTTTTACAGCCTTTTTTTGTTATTATTATTTTGAAAAAGTAATATTCTTAATTATTAATTTTTCAATCAATTGATTATCATAATCATAATGGCGATGATGGAAATACCTGAATTTTTTTAATTAATTCTTTATTATAATCAGCGCTCATATTTTTAAATGATTGATTAATAAAGGAGCTTCTAGCCTGTTTTATTTGTGGGAAAAAATCGTCAATTATCAATCGCTAATTATTTCTAATGAGTGAAAAAACAACACTTACTGCTTCAACCAATGACGACTTTTAAATTATTTAATCATTTAATTAGCAAATTTATATATATATACATATACAAAAATATATATAATGATAATATCATTTATGTCATTACCTCACTCCTAACTAAAGAATAAATTAAACTACTTTTTGCACCTTCAAACCCTATAACGTCGTATTCCATCTGAAAAAGAAAATCAACAAATCAACCAACCAACAAACAAACCAATCAATCAAACAAACAAACAATCAAACAAACAAACAATCAAACAAACAATCAAATTCAATTATTAAATTTACCTTTTTTTCGGCCAATTTAATAATGACTTTTCTAGCCTCATTAAATGCTAAATAAGCATTTGGAGATTTAAAGACATCAAAATAAATAAGACCTAAAGTAAATAAATAAACAAATAAACAAATAATTGTTTTATCTCGTCATTACCAAACAATCTCAAATAAATAATAATGATAATAAGGGTGATTACCTGATTCAGGATCAATTTTCAAGCGAGTGCCATAGGCTAAACCTTGACCACGTATCAACTTCCAAAATATTCCCTCCATAGTCTGTAAAATCTCACATAATACCAACAATGGTGGGTAATCAGGTGAATCAAAAGTATCAGGTCCTTTTTTTATAATTAAATAATCAACAAATACAATTCTATGAATAGCATATCAATATTTTATTATTTGTATTACCTTTTGTTACATGATAAGAATAAGATCCTTCAATGGTAGGAAGTTTAACGATATAACCCTAGTTAGTAATCAATACTTTAGTTATTTAAAAAAATCAAATTCTTGTGTAATACATAAAGATGGGATATTAAGTATTAACGATCAAAACCTTATTTCCTGGGTTTTTTCCACATTCAGTCAAAACCGTTTTAGATAAAGGTATTGAACCTAATTGTTTGTTAAACTAAACAAAAAAAAATAGGTAAGTTGATATTTTAATATCTCTATTTTTTTTTGTTTTTTTAAAAAAAGACTCACTTCTACAATCTTGAAGTTTTTAACCCAAGAACTTATTGGCTTATCCAATTTTAAAATATTTCCAATCACATGAATCCTCATGTTTTCAGGTGATGTTACTGTAAATTATATATATATATATATATATATATATATATATATATATATATTTAAATTTTAGATATATATAACCTCACAAATTTAAATGAACAAATATGAACAACGTACATATTTTTCTAAATTCGTAAAAGTCTTTAATAACTTTATCAGGGTTTTTTGATAATTCACTAATAACTTTTGGTAGAAAATTTTCTTGGAATAAAACGTCTGAAATAAATTTATTTGAATTTTCTCTATTGTACAACATTGTATTTAATATAGTCGCGGTCATCTAAATAAATAAATAAGTAAATGAATGAATGAATAAATGAATAAAATATTTGTATGAATAAGTAATAATGTATTGTTTGTTGATTGGTTATTTACTCTTGATCCTTCACGTTTTGACTCTGGTATATTGTTGGTAATTTTTGCAGCTGTGATCTTTAATCTATATATGAAATTATAATTTATAATCGTAATTTTATTATTGGAAAAGGATATAACGAATTATTAATTATTACCTTTCTGCGGAAAATTCTGTATACCAGAGTATATCACGTAACCACTGAATTCCTTTTTGGTATTTACTTGCCTATAATTAATAAATAATCATTAATCAACCATGGTCGATGATGATTATTAATAACATTGATTATTAATACTATAAATATATTTGCCTCCAATTGAAGTTTGATGCTGATAATTTGATCGAAACCACGTCTTTCACCCATTGCACTATCATACGCGATAGTATCTTTATTCAATTCAGTTATAACTTGTTCATGATCAAGACGAACACCCGTTATAGGGTTGTTGAGTGGCAAGCCGAATATAGACTCAAGGTAGATTTCAATGTATGGGCGTAGATGACTTGGAATTGTCGATGTTGAAAAATAAACTTTAAGGTTTACAAATGACGATTTAACATCTATTATTAATTATTGAATTATTATGTAGGAAGATAATATGTAATCATTTTATATATAATAGGTAATCATGGAAAGAAAGGATACGATCAAATTGCGTAAAGTATGGTAAATCTACACTATTATCTTTGTCCAAGTGAGATTGAACTGTATTATTACTTGTGAATAGTAAAACAATAATCCATTAGTTTTTTATTATGAAGATCGTCAATTTGATTATCACGAGTAAATTTAACAAAACATACAATTTTCCATAAGGTTTATTCCTTCCAGTTAAGACTTTTATAAATGAAATATTATCGACGTTTGGAGTTGGAATTTTCTCTAAAATAAAAAAGGCAAAATGAAAATATAATTGTTAACAGTCAAAATAAAATTATTTGCGATAATTAGTAAATTAATAAACTTTTTTACCCATAACTTCCTTTGGCACTGGCACATCATTTTTCCTTTTAGCTTCTTCCAATTTTTCTTTTAGTTTTTTTAAATTTTCAGGCCCTAAATCTTTGCGCTGTTTCTCCACACGTTCTTCTTCATCCTCGGACAATTTTTCTGCGAATTTTGCTGATGGTTTACCAAGTAAAATTATACTTGGATTATCTAAATAATATCTAATCGATTGTTTTTTTTTTTTAAAAAAAAAAATTAAAATCAAAACTTATTTTTAAATTTGATTTTTCCCACCCTCCTATCTAAAAAAAATCAATACTTACTTTTTCAATAGTTCTATCCAATTTTTTTGATCAAATTTCAATAATTGGTCATAAATTTCAAGATTCTTTATTTTTTTTTCAAGGTCTTCTCCATTTTCTTTACCATAAATAAAATCTAATTTTTTTTCAAAATATAATTATTAATAATATTATTATCATCGTTATTGGTACCACATTATAGTATTCAATACCTGGTATAGAATACGTTTGAAAAAAATGGTTAGGATTTGTCTCAACTTCATTTAACATCTATAACATTATTATCATTAATATTTGTCATTAATATTTATTATAATAATAACGACGATGTTATAATAATAATAATAATAACGATAATAATAATAGCATCAATAAAAATTTTCTTAATTACTTGTAACTTGATTCTTTTTATGAGTGTGTTCATCCTTTCCATATCAATTCCATCCTTATGTACAACTCTATTATACAATTCAAATATTTTAGTTGATACTGTTTCTAATTCTTTAGTTGGAACATTAGAAAACATGGCCTGGATGGTCGTGGTTATTTGATCACTAATCATGGTACCTATGTCTAAAGCGATATAATCCAATAATAGTAAAGAGTATTATTATTATTATATATGTTATGACTAATATTATTGCTAGATTAACGTCAGTGTTATTGTTATATTTACCTGTGCATAACGGATCATGGATTTCAACAAATTCTTTTTGAAATACTGACACAGGCGAATCACAGAAATAACTATAAAATATAAATAGCATTAATATATTATTAACATTAATATTAAAAATAAATCTCCTCTGATTTGGATTGCTCACTCATTTAAAACTTCCAATGCCTTGATCTCAAAAAAATTCTAAATTATCAAACATGTCAATATATATATATGTAATAATATATGAACCATATAATAATAAGTGAATTAATCTTGTGAATTACATTCTTACACTAAACTCAGGACCTTGCCAAAGAATAGAAACATGACCCATTGATTCATCATCTTCAGGAAATTCTAGAATCTCTTTTATGTTTTTTTTAAGCGGTGGAGGTTTTGGTGAGTCAACAAATGGTCTAAAAACGCATAAAGTAAACAAATAATATTTACATCTTTTATAACACAAAAGTTATCATGGAATCAATGATAATATTGTTAAAAATACCTTTTGTGTGGTGGTAATGGACCCTTCTTGGCTATTCTGCCATCGGCAATATCAAGTGTTTTCAACAGCTTATCTTCTTCAACATTACCAATTAATAAAAGACATAGATTATCAGGTCTATAATAGTCACGATGATACTAAATCATAGCTTAGGATTGTTAGTCATAATAATTAATCAAATTAATTAATGTCTAAATCAATTGAAGAATTTAATTTACTTTGCGAACTTTAGTTTACAAAAAAAAAAAACAAACGAGAGAAGTTATTAAATAAATTTGGAATAAATATTTAATGATCATAATAAATTTAAAATAACTACTTTTTTCCACCCCAAGCTTTCTAAGGCATTCCATCAATCCACCAGTTTCATAACGATATCCACATCCTTCAGGATACATTAATCTCTGAAATCTAAGATTAATTGATTAATTGATCAATTTATTGATTCGTTATATAATTCATGATATAATTAATTAATGCAAAGAATTTGTATTTATTTACCTTCGTTGAGTAAGAGACTCGCCGCTATTTTGAGATCCCTTTAAAATAAATAAAACAAATAAATGACTTGAATATTTTAATTAAAATACTTATCAATTAGTGCACAAATAATTACCTGCATCTCACTGTAAACGACCTTTAAATAAAATAATATTATTAATTTCTAAAATCAAATATGGAAAATGAATTGATAAAAATCAAATCATTATTTATTTACTCCCGCATCTTCTCCATTTTCGTTAATATGATGAACCTAATATAAATAAAAAAAAATGAATGTATATTAATATTTATGTTTATATGAAAAAGATTCAATGATATTTATATATTACTTCAGTGTAATAACCAGAATCGGTTAAAGTAGGATATAAAACATGATCAACGTAAATTGGTAACATATTTAAAAAACCCTCACTGCCAGCTGTTGTAATTGTGTAAGATGTGTTGTCTGTACCTGTCCATCTAAATATAAACAATACAATTATAAATAATTTGAAAACTAAATGTAAATACAAACATAATACCAATCACTCGATCGATTAATTAATTACGCGTTAGTTCCTTGTGAAAAAGATCTATTTGCAAGAGTGTCAAGAACACCCTTTAATTATAGTAACAGTAATAATAATAATAATTATATTTGTTAAAAAACGTATTCACACCATGTTATTATTGCTTATTATTATGATTGTAGTTGTGATTTTACCTTGTATGGATACAATTCACTACCAAGGAATATCAGACTAAAAATTTTTATTTTAATAAATAAGAATTTAACGAATTTAATGAATTTAATATCAATTGATGGCAATGTTAAATAATTATATATTACTGTTCTAATGTATGTGGACAGCCATCGTCATCGAATGCTAAAATAAAGTGGTATAATTGCTTGCTTAGTGATGCTCCTCCTTTTATGCATATCATTATTAAAACCAACCTTCAGTTGCAACTGAAAAATATCCATAAACAAGTGGAACTAATAAAATTATTGGAAATTGTTACTAGAATTCAATTATATTAAAAACATTATTATTGAAAGGTACCTTCGGCTTTAACATTGATGGCTGTTAAACCAGTAACAGAAGATTTATATTTTGTAACTGGAATGTCGAAATCTGTTTCAATTTTACGAACAACTTTAAAATTTGTCATTATTTTTTTCAAATACAACGATAATAATAATGAGAAGTCTGCCTAATATTCACACGCAGTGCGCACATTATCAAATCAATTATTGTTATAGATTATCAATCATCAGCCACATTTATTATTTACAGAAAAAAATTTATTTCATTTATTCATTCATTCCTCCTTTTTCGTATTATATTCTCCATTTTTATGATTTTGATTTTTTTCCCTTATTATTATATTCCGCTATTTCCTTACTATATCTTTCTTTATCTTTTTCGGCTAAATTTTTATATGGCTAAATATTAATAAAAATCATGATTAATTAAATAATATAACATATAATATATAGCAGAAATATATCCGCAAAATATATTTAAAATGTAACCTCCGTTTCCTCTTCTGATAAACTCTTCCATTTTTCAGCAAGTTTAGATAAACGAGAAGTGGAACTCTCGCCATCATTTACATTTAAATTCTGCTTAACAAAATGAATATATGACGTGACGGGTTTCTTTGGAAGATTTGGATCTTTCAATAGTTTTTTGTTTTTCAATCCGCGATGTTGATTCTCAAGCTCGATATCTTCCAATGTTAAAGAATTTTGCCACTCTTCGTACTTCTTACTGTACTCATTTTTATCATGCTGAAATCTTGCTTCGTAGCTCTTTTTAAATAGTTTTTTAATAAAATAATCATATTAAATGAATGAACAAAATAGAATGCTCACAATAATGATGATAATAAATAATCTTACGCTTTTTTGATCTTTTGATAAATTTTTCCATCTTTCAGCTAAAACTTTAGAAATGTCGCCTAATTTTTTTAATTCGGGATTTTTTGTTCTTTCACTTTTATATTCATCACTCAAAAAAATTACATAAGGTGACCTTGGCTTTTTTGGTTCTGGCTTCGAAATTTTAGGAAGTTTTTCTTTTTATTATAAAAAAAAAAAAATCCATGATTGATTAAAATATATTTTTAAAAGAATATACGCTTTCATCACTTTTATTAACTGAAGATTTACCACTATTGGTGGTTTTTTATTAGTTCCAGTCTTAGCCTAGTATCAGTTTAGTCTTACCCTTACCACTAGTTTTAGTCTCACCCTTTTCATTAGCTTTCGTTGAAGCAGCTGCACTCGACCTTTCTTTTAATGATACAGTTGCTTGCCTTAAAAGACTAATACTAAATCCACGACTAAGCATTGTTGTTGCTTCTGTTGCTTCCGCTTTAGTTGGATCGATTAAGGCTGCATTAATAATGGCACTTCTTCCCTTTAAACTATATGATGCTATTTGGGAAATTAATGATGGACAACGAAACATTATATTTTCTCTTTTCTATAGATTGTACAAGATTTAAAATATGAAAAAATTAAATTGATTTTTTAAATCAATCAATCAAATAATAATTATTATTCCGTCATCATTTACCGTGTGAAAAAATTTTCTGATCTACAGTCAAACTCGTTTCAACGAACTATAATTAAATTCGCGTTACAACGAATTTTTTGCTTCAAATATTACTGGCAAAATTTGGTGTAATGATCGCATTTTCATTATCACAGCTGAACTCTTTCTTATTATTATATTCCAATGGATAAAAGTCGCGCACGTGTTTTAAAATTAATTTCACAAAAACACACTTAAATAAAAAATGCTACTTTGCAGCTTAGGTTCACCGAATCGTGCGTGCAAATTTCATTTCTCTAATACCTTTATTGAGCTTACTTTGACCAAAATTTCTTTGTCAAACAATGTTTGCTTTGAAAAATCAATTGTTCAAAAACGCGTATAATAAATAACTTCATCTGAAATTTTTGAAATATGATAATACGCGTCTTGAGACAAGCATCATTTTTAATAAGGGTTTAAAAAGATTCTTTGAAAATTTTAAGCTCAAAATGTCAACCTTAACAGAAAGTCAACGTGGCGAAATCGTCGGTCTCATAAAAATAATGCACCCAATTACAAAATAACTAGAATCGTTGGTGTTCATATGACGATAGGGTCTCGCATTATTAAAAAATATCATGATGAAAAAGATCTTATTATTAAAAATCAAAATGGTCGTCCTAAATTATTAAACCATGAAAATCTGCCGAACAAATTAAAAATAAATTTAATGAAAAAACGAGTATCAGTGTTTCAACCAAGGCTATTAAAAGAACCTTACATGAATTAAATGTTTTCTGGGGCGAAGTCACTTTCAAAGAGCAAATTGATTAGATCAAGAGAATAAATCCACAGTTAGAAAATGGAGGTCTGTCGTTGTAGTGACGAAAGTAGAGTTGTTAGAATTTATAATAGATTCATTAAAGAATTGAATACTAAGCTGCTTTTTTTTTTGTGACACGGAGATAATTCTTTTATATTTAAAATGTATCGAGATAATCAGGAACATCTGATGGAAGTTCTTATATATAAAAACTTCATTTTATTTAATAATAATAATAATAAAATTAATCGTTTATTATAAATCTTATTGCTTCTTCTTTAGTTGTTGGAATAGGTTTAGATATGTGAGCTGTATTTTATTGTAGAATATTTCCACAATATAATTTTCCAATTCATTTTCACCATCTAGGCTTTTATACATAGATGCTGTTTTGTTGGATTGACAAAATCAAATCTTTGACATTCTGTATTTGATTCAGGAGGAGTTCTTGGAGCATCGGAATGAATATCTTTATATCCAATTGGTTTAAATAAATTGGTTCGCAACTAAAATTGAATAAAAAATATATATTAATTTGTACGTGCAGCAATTTTCCCATGATATGCATCTAACCTTTGATGCTTGTTGGACAATCCTGATATGGATAGTACACAATGTTTCTCTACCAAATCACATACACTTGGATGAAGTTGCTCATTTCTTCATGCATTTGTCCAGGTATAGGAGGAAGTAGTGTTGGTTTCCAAAACTAAAGAGTTTCGCAACT